ACTGTGGACAGATGAAACCAAGATTGAGTTGCTTGGGAAGAACACACAACACTATGTGTGGAGAAAAAAAGGTACAGCACACCAACATCAAAACCTCATCCCCATTGTAAAACATGGCGGAGGGAGCCTCATGGTTTGGGGCTGCTTTGCTGCCTCAGGGCCTGGACGGATTGTTGTCATTGATGGGAAAATAAATTCCAGAGTTTATATCAAGACATTTTGCAGGAAAACGTACGACCATCTGTCCACCAACTGAAGCTCCGCAGAGGATGGGTGATGCAACAGGACAATGACCCAAAGCATACAAGTAATTCAACAAAACAATGGCTGCAACAGCACAGAATACACCTTCTGGAGTGGCCCAGTCAGAGTCCTGACCTCAACCCGACTGAAATGCTGTGGCATGACCTTAAGAGAGCGATTCACACCAGACATCCCAAGAATATTGCTACACTGAAACATTTTTGTGAAGAGGAGTGGTCCAAAATTACTCCAGATCGTTGTGCAGGTCTGATCTGCAACTACAGGAAATGTTGGGTTGAGGTTATTGCTACCAAAGGAGGGTCAACCAGTTATTAAGTCCAAAGGTTCACATACTTTTTCCTCCCTGCACTGTGTATGTTTACATGTTATGTGCAATTAAACCATGGCAACATCTAATGTTTGTGTAGTATTATGTTCAGCAGACTGTATTCTTCTATTGTTGTGACTTATATGACGTTCAGAGCACATTTTATGCCCAATTCATGCAAAAGTCCACGGAATCCCAAGGGGTTCACATACTTTTTCTTGCAACTGTAAATGATTTTTCTCCTTCACTGATTTGCGCTAATGAGGCTGTAGTGATGGGCACTGGTAGCTGCACTGATGGACACTGATAGGTGGCAGTTTTTTTTGCACTGGTAGGTGGCACTGATGGGTGTTGACAGGCATCATCACTGATGGGCACTGACAGGCAGCACTCATATATGGCACTGACTGGCACTGTTAGGCGGCACTGACTGGCACTGTTAGGCGGCACTGATAAGCAGCGCTGACAGGCACTGATGCACACTGATAGGTGGCACTGATAGGCGGCACTGATAGGTGGCACTGACTGGCACTGATGGGTGACACTGAAAGGCAGCTCAGATTTTGTTATGCCCATGTTGAGGGTTAGGCCCAAAAAAGTTTTAAATTTAAAATCAGTGCCACCTATTGTGCAAATTGTCTGGCAAGGTTTGAATTTGGGTTTGTGGCGATATATTGTTGAGCATATGAATTGCTTTGGCCCACAATCAAATTGTACAAATCTTCTGTGAAAAACAACTCCATAAAATCAAGGGAGTTAAATTTGCTGTTTCCACCTGAATTCCGAGTTGGGCAATGAATGGGGGATGTATGGGTGCTGAATCAGAATCTGTGGGCTGCCAATCAGGATTTGCAAGCACATCCGGAAAGAAACTAGGGGCTCTACGGGCCTGTGTGTGAATTCTTGGTGGCTGCGGGACACTATTTGTACTTGCCACTGCACCAGCTTGTACTGCACTTATGGGACTCGTAATGTCACCAAGTGATACTGCAGTGCTAGTATAAAAAAGACCAGGAAATACTAGGCTGCTGGTGCTCGCCAGTTCACCAAAAGGTAGTGTGGCACTAGTACTGGCACTCTGCTGCATATGAGACAAGTCATGCGATCCTAGCACTTCAGCTTCATGGGGTCGGGTACACCTGATCTCAACAGGGACCTCTTCTCCAACGTCCGAGCTACCTGTCAGGGTGCCGCTGCTGTCTACAGGTTCATATTTTGAGGCTGATTGTCTCAGGGAGTCTTACCCTTCGCTCTCACCTGACATGCTCAGAATCCTGTAGGCCTCTTCACTAGTGTGCCTTTTGTTGGACGTTTTGGACTGTAACTGTGGTTTTGTGTGCAATGTATTACAGGTGACAGTGATCATAAATTATACTGACACTGCACTTCTTGTTAGGGGTGAGGGGGAGCATTGGGGCTAAACGCTAGTGCTGGCAGCAAATGGGGGTGATCCTGCTAACACTGCATTTTTTGGGACACTAATACTAAGGGGGCAATGGTATAGTTTTGTTTGTGATTAATATATTGATCCGTACAAACACTATACTAGTAATGACGGTGATCAGCGACCTATAGCGTGAGTACGATAGTGTGTGGGCAATCTAACACTGGCTGACACTAGCTGGGAGGGACGCTAACTGAACATGACGCTATCTGATGTTGCTAGTGGCATTAATACAGTGATCAATACTGTACACTGATGCTGTTCTAATGGTACTGGCAGGGGGCAATCAAAGGGCTAAATGTGGCAATCAAAGGTTAAAATGTCTCTATCTAACGTGTGTGAGTGCAGTGTGTGCTGCTTTTACTCGTGTGATGTCTTTCTTCTCTCTCTGGAACGAAAGGGTTCCAGGGAGAGAAGAACCAGCTAGATCATGTGCCTGTATTTACAAATACAGGCACAGCTCTGCATCTCCATTTGCTGTAGGAGATCAGCAGAGTCCTGGCCAAAATCACTGGCCGAGACCTGCTTACATACACCTCATACAACGAATGACAGCAGGGGTCAGCGGGAGGGTGCACGCATGCGCGCTCTAAAGCCGGAAGAGCAAAGTGACGTACGGGTACGTCGCTTTGCTGGCAGCTACTGCCATTCTGCAGTACATTATGGGCGAGAAGCGGTTAAGGTTTGACATGTTGGGTATCTATTTACTCTGTGCAACCTTGTCTTTTGTATTAAGCCAAATATGGGTAATTTATGTGTTTGATCGCCCTAAAATTCACTTGAATGCGTTTTTTACCGAAATTTTGCATTTTCTAGACCTTTGCGGTGCTGTGTGTGACATAAAAAATTGGAACTACCACTATGTTATTCTCTAGGGTGTTTGGGTTTTTTTTTGTAATCTTTAGGCCTGAAATCATTTTTCAAATGTGGGTGAAAAATGCAATAACTACCCAGGCAGCGAAAGGGTTTAAATAATCCAATTTTGTTGCTTTGCAGCCTGAGAGGAAGACAGGCACAATTTTTATTTAATCCAGCTGTATTTACTCAAATGCAACTGAAGCAAATAATCAACTATGGGTGGCAAGGGACTGTCCGAGATCAAGTTGTGGACAGGCACAAGTGAGATGGATACAAAAAAAATTTAGATGGCTTTATCAATGCCTAGAGGCACAGTCGTGGGGCAGTGTTGGTGGATGCTCCTTGGTGGCTGCCTCTTAAGAAGGACCTTCTGTCCCTGGGGTCGGGATTCCATCCTGCTTTAGCGTTGCTGGCTTTGACAGCATGGCTAATGAGTGTCGGGTTCTGGGGACAGGGAATTGTCTAATTTGGGATTCCAACTATGCTAATGGCTCATAAGTCTTCCCCACGACAGATTTCTTATCGCACCTGGATGGCTTATATCGTCTGTTGCAAAACTTTGGGGGTTCCATCCTTGATTTCTTACGGTAACTTAGTTGTTGGCCTTCCTCCAACATGGTGTGGATCTGAAGCTTGCTTTGTGTGTGATCAAGGGTCCAGTCTCTGCTCTGCCTGTTTTCTTTCAGTGTCCATTGGGCATGCATCCTTTTAGTTGCTACTTTCATTCAAGGGGTTCGTCGTGTGATGCCCCTGTGCGCTCCCCATTATTCCTGTGGGAATTAAGTGTGGTGTTGGCTCTACAGAAGCCTCCTTTGGAGAGAATTTGGGATATTCCCTTGCTTATGCTTTCTCAGAAAGTTGCCTTCCTAGTCACTCTTGCTTCGGCTTGGTGGGTGTAGTAAATGGCAATTTTGGCCTGTAAGCTGTTTTTTTTCTGATCTTACACAAGGACATGGAGGCGCTTTGACCTTCCCCTTCTTTCTCCTGAAGGTAGGTTGGATTTTCATTTGCATGAGGACACTTTACTCCCTTGTGTTCACAACCATTGCACTGTAGGGAGGTGGCCTTGAACTTCTTGGATGTGGTTTGAGCTATCCACGTGTACCTTTCTGTGACGGCTGTTTTTTTTTGTTTTTCTCTTTTTTTTTTTCCTTCTTTTTTGGGATTCTCTCTTTGTGCTCACAGATGGTCCAGAGAACAGCTCACGTTTTCTACATTCTATAAGGTTTTATGTGGCATACTCCAATGCTGGTTTTGGCTGCAAAGTTTTGCATGCAGCTGTTAAAACTCTTGACCACCCTGGTTTGGAGTGTTGGCATGTTGCCTGTTTTTTTTTCTCTGTTAGTTGGTTTGCCCTCCTGTCGTTGTGGCACTGCTTTGGGACATCCCTGTTTGGTTATGGAAAATAACAAACAGCTGTATTCAATAAATGTAAGAGAAAACGGGATATTTGTTACTCACCCTGAAATCCCTTTCTCTGAGTTCATTGATGGACTTAGCACCTACCCCTCTGTGGAATTTCTCCATTGAAAGTGCGTTTGACTGGATGTCTATAGCAGAATAGGGGTTTTATGCCCAGAAGGAGGACTGCCCATAGGAGGAGCCGAGTGTTTTTTCTCCCTAGTGTCCTACTCCTGTAGATGGGGCTATAAACCCTGTTTGTTCAAGATTAAATAAGAAGCAGATGTGTCCGTCAAGGAACTCTGAGAAAGGGATTTTACGGTGAGTAACACAAAATCAAATTTTTTGTGAGATTTCTTGAGTATTTAGTGCTCTAGTTTTTTTTTTTTCACTGCAGTAATAGCAAAAGACTTGTTTTGATACTTTGTTACAATATGTTTTCCATGGGGGAAAACTGTAATACTGTATAGACGCTGTACAGCAACAGTTGTATTAGGAGTAGTTTCATATGCTTGGAGATTTTTTACTATAGTTCATTTTATGTTTGCCTCATTACAGAAAAACATGGTGCCAATTTCACTGATTGATGTTTGTGCAATGTTGTGATGTATATTTTATAAAACCTTTTCTGAATTGTGTACATTGTACTATTTTGGTTGATATTACAAAGTATATCAGTGTTGCATTATCTCTGTCATAAATGCACTTTTTCTCATTCTGTTTTAGATGTGAACATCAAAACTTTGGGATCGGGTTGTGTGACTGTTAAACAGATTGAGTGTGACAGCTGCCAAATAGAAACTGAGAAGGGTAACAGTGTCCTACAATCTGTCAAGGTAATAGTACAGAGTATGAAGTTAACAGCGTAAATATGTAAATAAACATCCAAGCTGATGGATTGTGATTTTAGTAGTAGCGATAAGTCTAAAGGTTTGCTATACAGGTGAAATCCCTATCATGCTGCAAAATGATCATGACTATACTGTGACTTCCTCTCCACTGCTATATGGGTCATGGAAATCCTCAGCACTAATGCACTTTGCTGAATAGAGTAATTATTCATAAGTATCACAGGTCCCTATAGCCCTTATGACTGTCATGCCAGTAAAACAATTGCAAGATTTGTAATGTGACACAGGCCAGTACCAGCATATTTGCTGCTTTACAGCTAGTTTAAGAAAAGTCCATTGGCTTTCTGGGAATAGAAATCGATTTGAGTGAGTAAAGTATATCTAAAGGTCACATTTTTAAAAAATTTTAAGTAGAATAGAGAATAGTTGTAACGAATGTCAGTGTCAGTCTCTTTTTCCCCATCTGTATATCATTTGGAAAATTTAGCTTCACTTCCTGTTCTGTAGATTCCACAGGAAGTGATTAGAAATCACTCTACGGTGAGGTAAATGCCTTCCATTCAGTCTAAGGCTTTAGGAGGTCCACTGGCTAGCTGCATATTGTAAATATTAAAAATATTGGCCTGAAATAGTCTGCGTACAGAGGTTACAAGCTTAACCACTTGCCCTCCTGAGGATTTACCTCCCTTCCTGACCAGGACATTTTTTATATTACGGCGCTGCATTATTTTAACTGAAAATTGCGTGGTCATGCAACGCTGCACCCAAATTAAATTTATGTCCTTTTTTTTTACCCCTGCGATTTGAGCTTTCTTTTGTTGGTATTTGAGCCTGTGCGGTTTTCATTTTTTGCGCTATAGATAAAAAAAAGACCAATAATTTTGAGAAATATTTTTGACTTTTTGCTATGAAACATGTCCAGTAAAAAAAATGTAATTAAATGTATTCTGCTACATGTCTTTGCTAAAGGAAAAATCCCAATACGTGTAAATTAATTGGTTTGCATGAAAGTTACAGCGTTTACAAATGGCAGGAATTTTTTTTTTATTTTTTACTAGTAATGGTGGCGATCATCGACTTATAGCGGGACTGCATCAGGCATTCTGACACTGGGGGGAAACTGCCTTGGTGTCACTGACATCCCCAATGAAACCAATACAGTGATCAGTGCTAAAAAAAAAAAAACATTGACACTGTACTAATGGCACTGGGCAGGAAAGGGTTAACATGAGGGGTGATCAAAGTGTTAACTGTGTGCTGGGTGTGTTTTACCATGGGGCCTTCTGTGTGTACTTCACTGTAAGCACACTGCTTTGTATGGCTGTGCTGTGCACAGCCATGAAAAGCAGTGTGCACGAGCTGACAGGGAGGAGAACTGTTTTGTTTATAAAGAATTCTCCTCCCTGCCGAAGATCCTCTGCAATCACCGGGCACTGGCTTGTAATCACCGGCCTAGACCCGGTGATTGACATCCGTGGCGTGCACTCCCTACCCGGAAATACAAAATCACGTATATATACGTGATTTTGCGTGCCCATGCCGCTCTGTAACAGTATTTCTGCTGTAGGGCGGACGGGAAGTGATTAACCGCTTGCCGCCCTGCCACTGTGTATATACGTGTGCAGGGCGGCAGTGGAGCGCAAAAGCACGTTTTAAAACGTGCGCTCGCGATACATTCCCGGGTCCCGCCGACCCGCGGGTGATACGATTTGATCCAGGAGGGATCAATCATTAGATTTCAGCCAGTGATTTCTGGCTGAAATCACATGATCGGTCCCTGTCCTATCCTGTCCTGTGTTGACATTCACACAGGGCAGGATATGATGTCATTCTTCTGTGCCTGGACACATTCCATTCCAGACAGAGAAGAAGAGACATTTAAACGTGAGTAAAACAGCACACTGACAGTTAGAACACAGTCTAGGACACATTTAACCCCCTGATTGCCCCCCCCCAGTAAAACACTACACACTGACAGAACACTCTAGGTCACATTTAACCCCCTGATCGCCCCCCCCCCCCCCAGTTAACCCCTTCACTGCCCTGTCACCAGTGTCACTGATAAGTGAACCGATTTTTACAGATCACTGTATCAGTGTTGCTGGCAACTTCTTATAGTGTTAGCGCCCCTCCCAGATAGCGCCAGTACACCAGTAATCCCGTTTAACCCCTTGATCGCCCCCCCAGTTAACCCCTTTACTGCCCTGTCACCAGTGTCGCTGATCAGTGAACCAATTTTTACTGATCACTGTATCAGTGTCGCTAGCGACTTCCGATAGTGTTAGCGCCCCTCCCAGATAGCGCCAGTACACCAGTAATCCCGTTTAACCCCTTGATCGCCCCCCCAGTTAACCCCTTCACTGCCCTGTCACCAGTGTCACCGATCAGTGAACCAATTTTTACTGATCACTGTATCAGTGTCGCTGGCGACTTCCGATAGTGTTAGCGCCCCTCCCAGATAGCGCCATATTGCCCGCTAGTACACCAGTAATCCCATTTAACCCCTTAATCTCCCCCCCCCCCAGTTAACCCCTTCACTGCCCTGTCACCAGTGTCACTGATCAGTGAAGCAATTTTTACTGATCACTGTATCAGTGTTGCTGGCGACTTCCGATAGTGTTAGCGCCCCTCCCAGATAGCGCCAGATTGCACGCTAATACACCAATAATCTTGTCTAACCCCTTGATCGCCCCCCCCCCCCCCCCTCCAGTTGACCCCTTCACTGCCCTGTCACCAGTGTCATTGATCAGTGAACAGATTTTTACTGATCACTGTATCAGTGTCGCTGGCGACTTCCGATAGTGTTAGCGCCCCTCCCAGATAGCGCCAGTTTAGCCGCTAGTGCACCAGAAATCCCATTTAACCCCTTGATCGCCCCCCTCCCCCCCCCAGTTAACCCTTCACTGCCCTGTCACCAGTGTCATTGATTACAGTGAACAGATTTTTACTGATCACTGTATTAGTGTCACTGGTGACTTCCGATAGTGTTAGCGCCCCTCCTAGATAGCGCCAGTTTGCCCGCTAATGCACGGGATTTTTTTTTACCAAAAACATGTAGCAGAATACATTTTGGCTTAAATTTATGACTAACTTTGAGTTTACGATATATTTTTTTATAGCTGAAAGTAGAAAATATTGTTTTTTTCCAAAATTTTTGTGTTTTTTTTTTGTTTATAGCGCAAAAAATAAAAAGCGCACAGGTGATCAAATACCACCAAAAGAAAGCTCTATTTGTGTGAAAAAAAAGGACGTAAATTTCGTTTGGGTACAGCATTGCATGACCGCGCAATTATCATTTGAATTAGTGCAGCGCTGTATAGCAAAAAAAGCATAAATTACAGTATCTATACCATAGTTTGTAGACGCTATAACTTTCACACAAAGCAATCAATATACACTTATTGGGATTTTTTTTTACCAAAAACATGTAGCAGAATACATTTTGGCTTAAATTTATGACTAACTTTGAGTTTACGATATATATTTTTTATAGCTGAAAGTAGAAAATATTGTTTTTTTTTTTCAAAATTTTCGTGTTTTTTTTGTTTATAGCGCAAAAAAAAAAAAAGCGCACAGGTGATCAAATACCACCAAAAGAAAGCTCTATTTGTGTGAAAAAAAGGACATAAATTTCGTTTGGGTACAGCATTGCATGACCGTGCCATGATCATTTGAATTAGTGCAGCGCTGTATAGCACAAAAAAAGGCATAAATTACAGTATCTATACCAGGGGTGGGCAAACTTTTTGACTTGAGGGCCGCAATGGGTTCATATATTGGACCCGGGGACCGGACCAAGAGTAGATAGTAATTCATCCCCCATATAGTAATTCATCCCCCATATAGTAATTCATCCCCCATATAGTAATTCATCCCCCATATAGTAATTCATCCCCCATATAGTAATTCATCCCCCATATAGTAATTCATCCCCCATAGTAATTCATCCCCCATATAGTAATTCATCCCCCATAGTAATTCATCCCCCATATAGTAATTCATCCCCATATAGTAATTCATCCCCCATATAGTAATTCATCCCCCATAGTAATTCATCCCCCATATAGTAATTCATCCCCCATAGTAATTCATCCCCCATATTAATTCATCCCTCATATAGTATTTCACCCCCCACAGTACTATTCCCCCCAAGTAGTAAGCCAAGTCCCCCCTGTGTCAATTCACTTACCTTTGCTCCGCGCGTTCCTCTCGCCGTGTTCCCGCGCTGTTCCGGTCTTCAGGGCGGACTGTGAAGGAGCCTAGCTCCCTTCACGTTCGTCACGCTGCCCCGCCTACACACATCCTGACAGCCAATGTTTGCCTGCCCTGGCTGTGTTTTTTTTATGACGCTCCGCGGGCCGGATTAAAAGGTCCGCCGGGCCGTAGTTTAGTTTGCCCATTGCTGATCTATACCATAGTTTGTAGACGCTATAACTTTTACACAAAGCAATCAATATACACTTATTGGGATTTTTTTTACCAAAAACATGTAGCAGAATACATTTTGGCTTAAATTTATGACTAACTTTGAGTTTACGATATATTTTTATAGCTGAAAGTAGAAAATATTGTTTTTTTTCAAAATTTTCGTGGTTTTTTTTGTTTATAGCGCAAAAAATAAAAAGCGCACAGGTGATCAAATACCACCAAAAGAAAGCTCTATTTGTGTGAAAAAAAGGACGTAAATTACGTTTGGGTACAGCATTGCATGACCACGCCATGATCATTTGAATTAGTGCAGCGCTGTATAGCAAAAAAAAGGCATAAATTACAGTATCTATACCATAGTTTGTAGACGCTATAACTTTCACACAAAGCAATCAATATACACTTATTGGGATTTTATTTATCAAAAACATGTAGCAGAATACATTTTGGCTTAAATTTATGACTAACTTTGAGTTTACGATATATTTTTTATAGCTGAAAGTAGAAAATATTGTTTTTTTTCAAAAGTTTTGTGGTTTTTTTTTTGTTTATAGCGC